CCTGATGTTAAGTATAAATGTTCTTTTTTATTTCCACTTTTCTCTTCGTCGTTGCTCATATGTTCGGTCTAGTTTATTCTCAGCATCCTTCTGTAGAACTACATTTCAATTGTTTCAAGTCTGTTCTTCATCCATGAGGATATTTTCCAACATTCACTACCATATAGAAGGAATATTATTACATAACAGTTCGGTACTCTTTTCTTTATTTCTAAAGAAGTTTTTTTCTGATTTTCAGTACTTTTGCTTAGCTTTTAGAGGGCATCCTTCGCTATTCCAATGCGCCTTCAAATTCCAGTATCGCCCTTTCCGTACTTCGTTAATACACTTCCCATATAATTAAATTGTTGTACTTTTTTGAGTTTGGTTATTCCAAGTTTTAATTTTCATGTTGGGCTCTTTCTTTTGCTAACAACTTTTTTCAAGTATTTGTTAATGGAAGGGTTTTAAAAAAAAATAAAATCTTTGAGTTATTGCATTGAATTACCTTAAATGATTTATTGCCTTTCTTTGTTTTTCATTAATCCGGTTAAGTCTTTATTTCTGATCCAAGTTACTTAACAGCCGAAGAATCTACAGAAACAATCTAAAGAAACGAATTATAATATATTGAAAATTTTTCGCTGACTGTTTCTCATTAAACTTGCATTTTTGTATATTTCCTTCAGTTTTTGTGTTGGTCAAAGCGTTTCATCTGAAGTTGACGTGTCTCTAAAAACGTTTTATCTGAGATTGATATGTTCCTTAAAACGATTCTCATGAGATTGATGTGTTTTTTAAAATGTTTAATCTGAGATTGATGTGTTCCTTAAAACGATTCTCGTGGGATTAACGTGTTTCTTAAAAACATTTCTCATGAGATTGATGTGTTTCTCATGAGAAGGACGTGTTTCTTAAAACATTTCTCATGAGATTGGCATGTTTCTTATCACGTTTCATCTGAGATTGACGTGTTGCTTAAAACGTTTCTCATGGGATTGATGTGTTTCTTAAAACGTTTCTCCTGAGAGTGACGTGTTTCTTAAAACGTTTCTTTTGAGGTTGACGTCTTTTTTGAACGTCTCGTATAAGATTGACACCAAAAGCAATAGAAGATTTTAGTTGAAACTTTTTATTAGATTTCCTGTGGAGAACAGATAGCGATTGACCCTAGCCTGGGGAAAATCTAGATTAATGCTCAAGGGATCACCCAAGCCAGTCTAAAGTGTTAGTTCCTAGTAAAAAAAAAAAGTAGCCTAGGGAAATTTCTTCTTACATTTGGAACACGGGATAAGTAACATAACATGTGTACTATCAGCAAAGGTCTGATCCAAGCTGCTTGAACAATCGCCTGAATGTTGAAATAAAAATCTAAATATATAAGCTAAAGAGGAATTTAACTTTATTATTGATATTAAAAGACTTTCTCATAAAGGATAATAACATTAATACATCTCATTTCCGAACACACCCGTCTCAATAAGCGGCTAGCCAATCCCTATAACAGACGCCTACTCAACCGAAACCCGCACTCTATGCATAACAGACCATAGTTACAGTTTCTGGAAGAAGGCGCATCATTTAGCATGATCATTTTTTGAACAAACACAGCCGCTCTGTCACGGTGACTTACGAATTTGTGCTAACACAGCCATCTGCGGCTTTCGAATGGTTCAGTCTATTCAATTTCCCTCATAAGGGTTAATTTAAATCGTGGTATGGTTTTCAGTCACCTTCCAAATGTGCTGCGTGCTGGAATCACCTCCTTAGGTCGATATTATCAAGACGTTTTCTCTTTGACAAATTCTAACCACGCGCCCATAAGAGTTTCTCATTGCACTTCCAATAACCAAAAAGAAAGAATATTTCATCGAGACATCGCAAGAATTCGTCAAAATAGTAGCATTCATAATAACTTGTAATTTTAGCTTTTCCTTCCTAATCATCATATGTACTTCGACATCCAGAATTAATTAAGTTGTTATAGAATTCTCTTGCAGAAAAAATTCTATTTTATGAATGTCTGCAAAATTCAAATAGTGCAGTTATCGAAACTCACCGGCATACAACAAGCCGATTATTGAGCAACGAATATTTAGAAAAAAGTATAATATTTAACTGAGGATCCATTTATAATGATATATATATATATATATATATATATATATATATATATATATATATATATATATATATATATATATATATAGCTATTATTATTATATAACCCCACAAATCATTTCTCACTCACACAAGACAGACATGCTTACGGAGGTGTTGAGGCCTCACACTTATAAACACACCCATAGTAATATACAGACTTACACACCATACTCACTCACTCCCTAAGAACCAAATGATATACACACACCCTTAACAGAGAGACACTCCCTTTCCAGGAACTAATAAAACTGTCAAAATGACCAAGGAAATCAGAGCAGCGTGAATCCGTCTCAAATAACAACTTAAAAGAGACTGACCCACACAAGGTCTGGCCAAAATTCACGTTAAAAAAATAAATAAAAAAACAACGAAAACTACAGACAAAAGTTTATTTTCTCCATCAAGACATTTATTTCTGTAGTTCACTGCTACCAGCAAGCAGAAAAACTTTTTTTTTCTGATGATGATGGCCATGTTGGCCGAAACTAGTCGAGGGATCTAAATGAAATAATTATAAAAACGAAAGAATATTAAAATACAATCCTGTGTGTCTGAAGATTGTAATGTTTTAATAAGTGATTTGTGCGAATAATCAAGTGAAAACCAAAGAATTTTCTTATATGTACCATTGTCATTATTATTTCGACTCGATTAGTACAGTTTATTCTTTCTTTACTTTCATAGAAATATAATATGAGAGCCATGTTAAAAAATGATGAAGATGCCACCTAACGGGCAGTTTTTGAACGAAGTTTCATTACAATGTTATCTCGTCTTTGGGTCGGAGATTTTCAAGACATCTGCAGCTTTTATTTTAAGTAATCATCGCTTTTATGCTAAAAGACAGGAATCATTTCAAACATTTTCTATCTAGTTTGGTGCCTGACTGATTTCCTAAGAGCAAACTCAAGTAGAAAATCCAGCTACTGATTTTATCTTTTCACGCGAATCTTCTCCATGATGTTGGTCCAACAGAGAATCAGGAATGGCCGCCAGCTAGTGGGGCCTCTCTCCTGCTTTTAACACGAGCTCTAGTTGCAGGGAACAAATAAAAGACGAAGCATCGTTCGAAAACTCTTTTGTCGCCTGTTTTTTTTTTTTTGTTTTTTTTTGTTCTGTTTTTTTACTCAATGTTAGAGTTCACTTGAAGCGACGATTTATGAGGAACAAAAGATATATAAATATAGATAGATAGATAGATAGAGAGAGAGAGAGAGAGAGAGAGAGAGAGAGAGAGATAGAGAGAAAGAGAAAGAGAGAGATAGCGTGAGGGAGACATTTTACATTTTACTACTTTTCTAAAATGTGCATCTGCCAAATCAGAATTGCTCCAGGGTGATGACTTGAAGCTACACTCATCAAAATATTTTTATATCACAAAGTATAAACTCACCGTTAAATGTATATATATATATATATATATATATATATATATATATATATATATATATATATATATATATATTACCATTTATTATATTTTCGACGCTCATCATGAATGATGGATACATTTTTGTTAAATAACCTTATGAACTCTCGTTGCTTACTTTCTATAATTTTGAAAAAAATATTCTTCATAATAATTTTTCTTACTTTTTTCTGTATCAGAATGTTTCGGACGATCCATTCTTCATTTTTTTTCGGGGGGGGGGGTCAATCTTTGTTAACGGAAACTAGAAAATTAAGGGACGAGGCTCGCAAAACGGAGCGGCCCTTACAGCGTCTCTCAGTGGCGATGGTGCGAGGTAATGCTTTTTCCATTACAGAAGATAGCAAAAAAACAAAACAAAAAACATGTTTTTGTTTATAGATACTGTGTTCACAGAAATATTTGCTTCTTATTGACGTAAAAAAATATTTACAAGAACATATTCTATTGTGTATAATTTTTATTTCAAATATTTGAACTAGAAAATGTGTTTAGACATCATTTTTCTGCTGGTATTTTTTTATTTGCTCTACTAAAACAAAAAAAAAATACAAATGCCGCCTCCAGTTCTTGACAGACGATCAGAAAGAAGGTGTAAAATGGTTCAAAACAAACGTTGCCAGAGCGAAAACAAGAATAGCAACAAGTGTTCAATAATTAATATTTCTTTGTCAACAGGACGAACTATTTTTAAAGTTTTGCTTTTAGATTGGAATAAACTTTGTAGCATGTTGCAATCCCTATCGTGTTTACTAAAGGCTGTTAACTGAGTTGAGATACGAAATCATGAAGCCTTTGCAAAGTTAATTGTCTTTCTTTAATTAGCATAAAAAAACGATGAATCGATTTCACTTAAAAGGGCATAATTATCTACCAAAAAGATGCAAGCCAAATTGATGATACATTCACTAAACAAGTCTCTATTACAATCTGGAATTCTTTTTAAATATTTTACCAGACCTGCACACAATGGAAAACTACAAGTTGTTTGTATTCACAGCCTACGTTTTTCTATAGTGTAATGACCTGATTTCTGTTTGTAGGCGTGTTTGCTTGTCACTGTGATACTGAAAAGAAAAGTACATTGTAGCTGGATTTTTATTCGAACAGTATAATTAAAATAGCATAACTTGAAGAACACGGCAATTTTCAATCTAATATGTTGCTTAATAAATATAATGCAGGGACTTACATTTGCACTAACCTCGATGGTAAAGATCTGAACTTGGTTTGTGTGTTTGTTAATTTAAAAAAAAATATATATAATATTGCCATTGCGTATTTTAATAGAATTAAATTGTTCTTTTTTATCATTATTTTTTTTTAAATTGTTCTTTTTTATCATTATTTTTTTCGGATTTTTATTTTATGCATTAATTATTGATCTTTTTTTATTACTTTTTCTTTCCCTACTCCATTATATATAGGCTTACGATCATATCACATTGAAACACCGATTCTCAGGTGTATCACCGAAGATAAGCAACGTTGAACCTGGTCAGTACCAAGATGGGTGACGACTTGAGAATACCAGGTGCTGTAAACTTGCATTGATTTGCTTTCGTTTGTTTTACAGTATATCAACTTCAATGGGTTATTTAATGCCGACAAGATTTTTATTGCTGCTAATATTTTTTTCAAAAATTATTTCTGGTAATATTTCTTCCAAAAATGTATTGCTGATAAAATTCCTATTTCAATGTGTTGCTTGTAATTTTTTTTTTTCAGAAATGTATTGCTGGTAATATTTTTTCCAAAAAAGTATTGCTGGTAATAATGTATTGCTAGTAATAATTTTTTCTTCAAAAATTTATTCCTGTTATATCAATATTTACGGTTTATCAACCTCAATGGGTTATTTAATGCCGACAAGATTTTTATTGCTGATAATATTTTTTTTCAAAAATTGTTTCTGGTAACCAGCAATTAAGAGGTAGTTTCCCGCTCCTCAAAACTTCCTAATCATAGGACTTGCTGTTGGATGTAGCTTATCGTCTTACCCAGGACACGGATATAGTTTATCATCATACTCAGAACGATGTAAACGATGATGTGCGGGTAATTTAATGTATAACGGCTCGGATTGGAAATCGGAGAGCTGAGTTCTAATTCCAGTTGGGTTCCTCATATTCACCTACGCGCAAATACGCTTGGGAAAGGTATGATTTTACCTCTTCTTCAACCAGCTATTGGTTAATTAGTAGGAACTGTGCCAGTACATGATTATTATTTCCAAAATATTCTTACAATCTAAAGATATTTCATGGCTTTTAATGACTTGTAAAGGGTTGATAAACCGTAGAAAACAAATCAATCAATAAATCCATTATATATAACTGCATACTACTTTTCTTTTTAAAGAAAAACGATTTTCCTAAATTATAAACATGTATGTTCAAAAATTATATGACAGACTACTGCTGGTTAAGAATTCGTTTTAAAATAAAAGCTAATGTTAGATTACAAATCTAGTTTGCTTAATTGCAGAATAGTAATTGCTCCTTATTTCATTCATTTATTTGTTTCCAAATAGCTATATTCATACATTCTATAAATAGAACGCATTTAAGTCAGTTTTTAATAATATCACTTCAGAAGGTAACGAAAACGTCGAGAGTAAGATAACATCATTGACCAAATAGTGTCACTGTTGGAGGAAATTTATAAATTTTTTTTCATTAGGGAACGCCGAAGTGGTGTAACAGTTAACAAGCTTGTCTTGTTGATTCAATTACGATTTAGTAGTGAGTTCGATCCCCAAAGGGAGCTCCATATTTTCCGACCTTGAGCCACATCTAATCTTAAGTTAAGAAATCACTATAAAATATCCATATTAAAAGAGTTTTTATTTATAAAAACATTTCATGAAAACAGTTTTATTTATAGCTTACTATTTTGTTCCTCTCTTACCTTCCCGCTTTCATTTTCCCATCCTTTACCTAAGTCTTTTCTTTCTTTATTTCTTTCTTTCTTTCTTTCTTTCTTTCTTTCAACTATACTTCTTACGAAAATAGCTTACTATTTTGTTCACCTCTTTCCGTGCTCTTTCATTGTTTCTTTCCTTTACCTAAATCGTTTCTTTCTTTCTTTCTTTTTTTCTTTCTTTCTTTCTTTCTTTCTTTCTTTCTTTCTTTCTTTCTTTCTTTCTTTCTTTCTTTCTTTCTTCCTTCCTTCCTTCCTTTCAACTATACTTCTTACGACAATAGCTTACTATTTTGTACCTCTCTTACCTTCCCGCTTTCATTTTCTCATCCTTTACCTAAGTCTTTTCTTTCTTTCTTTCTTTCTTTCTTTCAACTATACTTTTTTACTTATAAAATCTTTTCATTAAAACAGTTTTTATTTGTAAAACCTCTTCATGAAAACAGTTTTATTTATAAAAGCTTTTTATTACAAAAGTTTTTTTAAAATCTTTTTTTAATGAAAACAGTTATTTTTTTCAGGAAATTAGTCTTCTCAAGTCTACTGTTATATCGCTTTCTAATATTGATTGGAGTTTCCTTCCAAACCGTTTGTTCTTGTTAGTGTGGAAAGTTAATAGCTTGATTATATCATTATTTTCTCTACTAATTATATGTTCTCCATTTTCATCATTTCCGTTGTTTTCTCTCAGTAGATTCGTTTATGATGTCGTTCGGTATATTCAAATGTTTTAAAAACATTTCCTCAAATATATGCTTATAAAGTCGCATAGCGTTGTATAAGGAAAGGTAAAAAAAAAGTTTGGATTGATTTCATCCTGACAATCACGAATAGCTATATCTGCAGCCATCACTCTTTCTGGCTGATGTAAATTGTTGTCTAATGCAATATGTTATAATTTACCTAGTGCAATTCAAACTCCATGTTGTCTCTTCTCCTCCTGTCCAATTCAGAAGAAATCGTAATTTAAGTGTGAAATGGAATCGCTGCCAAAACGGCATACCACGTGCATACGAACAGTATCACGATTTACTCTGTTGCCTTGCTCTGGAATTAAATATATTCAGGAATCGGTTGAACATGACTGGATATTAAAAGAAATTTCAGGAGACTAAATTAAGACTGGCAGGAAAAAGATGATTATTATCCATTTACTTGAAAACCTTGCTCAGACAACCAGAGAAGAAGCTCTAATTGCCTAATTTCGACAGATAGTAATACGTGTGTGGCACTCAGTGAGGATCAAAGTTGGTACAATAATTATATTTTGATATATCTACTTCGCCTATCTTAGGGCCACATGCAGAAAAATAGAACTCACTATATAACACGATCGGCCCTGCTTGATCTTCGGTTCTTCCTACGATGGTCAGTACTGGCGTCGGTCAATTGATGCAGTGCAGTGAAGATTGAATTTCCGCCCGCATTTAAGCGCTGAATCGAGTTGGTGGAACCGTGCTATGAAGGACAAGAATGCTTCCGCCTGTGAACACACAAATATCATAACAAATAAGGAAGAAGGCCGCTGGGTTAATTTTCAATGGGCTTATATAATCGTTAACCCTCTACGTTCGACTCTCGATCGTGACACTGTCTCTCTTGTAACTACAATTTAGAGCGAATTAAACATTCGTAAGAGATCTTAGGTCGCCGGCAATTCTCGTAATCGAGGCACATCTGCAATTCATCTCGGCAACAGGTCACATGTCTTCTTCCGGCCTGTCCCGGCCACCGCCAGCCTCTGCCGACCACCGCCGGCCTCTCCTGACAACCGCTGGCCTCTCCAGGTCACCACCGGCCTCCAGCGCACCCCGCTAGTCTCTTGTGGCTTCTGGTCGCCTCTTGCAACAACTGCAAATGTTACTATTGGCTTCAACCGATCGTTCGGTTTATATGCATTTCACCCAACTCTCACCACCCCTCAAAACTCATTACGTATTCATCAATTAATTATTTTCTGGAGACATGACATCGACCCTAAACAAAGCTGTCTGGTTTTTCAAAACAATAAACATTGTTTTACGCAACCCTCATGACAATCAGCGATTTTATCAAAACAAAAAAGTCAACAATTTTCATGTTTAAAAATTTATTTAAAATCGGCAGTTGCTTTTGTTTGCCGATTTCCAAATCCGACCCAATTCCATTTTCCTTTTTTACATTTTTGGCTTTACTTAAATTCAGTCCTTAGCAGAAAATGACCTTCAAATGCCAACACAGTCAACTTTTCAAAACAAAATTATTTTAAATCAGCAAGGAATTTTCTGCTGCTTTACTTCCGTTTTCCTATTCATAACAATCCTTATTTGCTTCTCCGTATTTTGGACTTAACATTCTATTCGGAGTTTCTGTTTATCAGAAAGGGAAAAAAATTCTTTTTTTCCCTGGTTTCATATTTCAATTCATTGTTTTTCACCTTAATGTTGCTTTTCTTTCAATTCTCCAATCCTATACGGGGTTTTCACATGAACCATTTTAATCCTACATTCATACTACTAGTCTCACACTTCTTTCATCTACTACCATTGACTCTTTATAGTGTCACAAATACATCCATAATGATACTCATTTGTCTTAGCGTTTCCTGACACAAGGCCACAAGTTTGAAGCGCTCAACGAATATCGATCTCACTATTTCAGCAATTGTCTGTAAAATTATATTGTTAACTGTTGTGTATGATACACCTAATTTACATAAGCGGACTTCCGACCATATAAATATGGGTTGGTACCGGAAGACGGGGAAGATAGTAGAGATTAAGAAATTGAATCCAGAGACTCTGCCCGACTGCGATTTAGTCAACCGATTATGCAGGAACAGTCTTCCCAAGAATATACCAAACTAACTGTAAATATTGTGTACCTATTCTTTGTTTCAATACATTTGTTAACGTACATTTTGTGTTGTATTATTCCATGCTTATTTAAGCTTCAACATTAACCACTACTCACATCCAGATATCTATGAGTTTCAAGTTCACTCCAGACTTCAAGTGGAACAAAAATATGCTATCCATTGTAAAAGATGCTGAGAATATTGTATCGCTCGAGGAAGTACTTGACTAGAGTCAAGTATTTCCTGGAGCGATACAATTTTCAATTTGCTATGATTTACCTTTATAAGAGTCAGATTAGACCAGAAATAAATGCATGGACTGGAGCTGCTCAATCTTCCCTTTTCAATCATGATAATATTCAAAATAGTTTACGCTGTCCTTTGCCGGAAAGTATAGACTTATTTTCCACTCTGCATACTTCTGCCCACACAGATAACGTTGCATGATTGTCGCTACTCTATCGCTATTTCCATGAAAAATGTTCAGAAGAGCTCGCCATTCTTCAGTAAGGCCAGCTCAGATATTTTACATTAGAACACGCCATGTCACTTCACCGTGGTCAAATCGTCATCATTCTTTCCATGGTCCAAAAGCAAGGAAAGAGGTTTCCACTCAGACAGCTTTTTGCTTCCCTGAACTAGCCTCATATTTCTCTGAACATTAATAATATTTACGGTCATAGGGTAATCGTTGACCTTATCACAAGATCTTCATTTCCCTACTGCCCCTCTTTCACTCATCCATCTTTATCATTTTAACAGTAAGCCTCAACATAGAATGACTT